GGCATCGCCATCCTTCCATCGTCGCGTGCGTCTATTCTAGATTTCTAGTATGGCTACTGTGCGTTGCAACGTGTAAATGTTATTTTAATTTTATTATTTTTTATATACATTTTAGTTAAAATGAAATCTACTACGAGAACTCGTTTGGATATATATTTTTTTAGAAAATCATGAGCTGCAATTAGGAGTCCAATCATCTCAAGTTAGCATACGAGTTTTTTAAAAAAAATTTCTTATATGATTTTTTTATGTATTTACAAAAGCAAACGAACTTAAAAACCGACTTAAATACGCATCTATATTCCCTAAAACAAACAAACTTAAAAACCGACTCATGTTCAGATGACGTAACAAAGTATCTGCAAAAATATATTTAATTTTTATAATAGTAGACATAGTAAGTAGGTATACGCGAGGGAGCGAGTTTGCCTGTAGCCGTGGACACACACCGGGTTGAGGCGGACAGGGCATTGAAACGGGGCAGATGGAGGGGGGGGGGGGCGAGGGTACGTGCCTACGTGGAACGTGGGGCTGCACCGCACGGCACCGGCATTTACTGCGAGCTCCTACGTACGCCTACTCCTCGGCCCGGCGGAGGAGACGGCATTCACTCACTCACCCCCGAGTCGGTGACGCGTTTGACCGGCCGGACGCCGCCGGGCGGGGCGCGCACACGCACGGCACAGACAGGCTGCATGTGAAGGCCGCAACAACCGCAACCGCACGCGTGGGGATAAGCCGAGAAGAGAACGGCGCCGTGGGCTAATTCCCGGGCCACGCGCGCACGCGGCCGCGTGGAAGACTCCCACCACCGTACAGTTCCGACCGCCTCGTTGGCCCCGGAAGAGAAGATGCCTCTGCTACGTGATCTCCGCGGAAAACCAGGAGGGGCGGGACGTCTCGTTGGGCACTCATCATGAGCCAAGCTCGGTGAAGTTTCACCCCCCTGAGGCGTGTAGTTGATCCTACGGCATACTACGGCAGAGGGCTCTGGGAGTCTGGGGTTTAAACTGGCGACGTAAAACGGACGGATGGACCATGGACAAATGGGCACTACAGCAGACCGTCCGCCGTGACGACTGGCGAGGACCAGATTTTACGGTCATAGCCACAAAACCTGACTGCTGACTGGTGAAAGCGTGCACATGTCTGGGACGCTGTTAAGGACTAATGAGTGCTGGAATGGAGACTGCTGCAGCGTGACCCACATGGACTTTTTACCTCGCCATGTGCACGTCCTGATGAACCATGCTCATGCATGTCCACGTTCCAAAACTCGATGCCAAGTCCCGTGTCTGAACACTCGCCTCCTGCCGTGGTTGGGCCGCACGACTTTGACCTCCCTGGCTGCCTCCGTATGTAGCATCATCGGCTGTAGAGAGGGGCCAGAAGCACGGGGATCGAACTGTTACAGAAGGCTGTTCCGGCATGCGAGTTGCAGTGAAAAACCACCACCCTCTGAAAAACAAGAGAAAATAAATACCACACGACGAACTGTGCCTGTACTATTGCTTTGCTATGTGCTAACCAGTTCACGAACGCCAAAATTCAGACAGTATCATTCATTTATCGAAAGAAAAATTACGTGGCTGCGCAGGTATACCCAAAGTTCTGTACATGCAGCCACTGAACAGGAGCAGCAAAACAAAACGACCCAAACAAGTGCACAAGAGTGGACACCATCTTATTCACCTATGCATCCTCCAGGAGGACCATGATGGTAAATCTCCTCCGGTCACCCTGTGAATTGTGATCTACGCCGAGTTTAGTTCCAAAATTTTTCTTCAAACTTTTAACTTTTTCATCACATCAAAACTTTCCTACACATAAACTTTCAACTTTTCAATCACATCATTTCAATTTCGACTAAACAAGTCACACCCCTACTCTAGCCTGCAAACTGCAGCAACCCACGATTTATAAGGCAGTCACTACTCATCACAAGTCACGAACCCCCAAGTAGTACAAAAGGCGGCCTGCCGATTGCACCAGCGGCACATGCCGGGCACTTGAATACAAACGAAAAGTCTGCGTCAGGCTCACAGAGAGGTTGAAAGCTGACCTCACAGAATCCAACAAGAACTCACAGCAGCAAAGAAAGAACTGCTACCCAAAAGGCGGCCGAATGCAAACTTTACAAACGGGACAACGTCTTGGGATTACCAATGACAATCACCCTCGATAATTATTTCATATACTAGCATTAGACGGCCATGATACTTCAAGATGTTGTAAATCTGACTGTAACGAACGCATCAGTTCATCAATCAAACTGTTACAACCTCCAATTATTATTCCGTTTGAATGTGACCTGCCGATGAAGATGCCTTGCTATAGTTGATAACTATGCAGGTCGTCAACTATGGCCATGTACTATATTGAATTTCATTAATCTAGCCATATATTGAACTGTTCAATGTCGATATCTAATTTTGAGTTAAACCCCTGAAAACAGACTATATAAAAAGAATATCCTTCTGTAATTCATTACGTAGTACTACGACATCTAGAATCTCATCGGTTGCCCACAACTTATTATATATACCCCTATGTTCTTAGAGTCTTATTGAAAACCAATATAAAAAGGAAAGTATGCTGAGAATATTTTAAATTATCTTTGAAATTAAGTTTAAAATTTAAATTTTGGCTTTAGCTTATTCTTTCGAGAACAATCAATGGGACTTTGCCTTTCGGACGATTCAATGTTCAAACCATACAGTACTTGTGCATAGAGGTACTGAGGTACAGAAGGAGCTGTAGTCCTAAAGAAGAACATGGTCAACCACTGATGGAGTCTTGCAACCAAACACCAAGAGGAACAATACATAGCTAATGACAGGCTGTGTTTAGTTCAGCGTAAAGTTTAGATTTTGGTTAAAATTGAAGATGATGTGACTGAAAAGTTATGTGTATATGACATGTTGATGTGATAGAAAATGACTGAAGTTTGGATCCAAACTTTAGATCTAAACACAGCCACAGTGAGAAAAGCTTTGGATTTAGGTACTTCAGGGTCTGCTTTGGATTTACTCCATTAGGGAAAATCTGTTGATGGTAGGACTGCCACAAAGGAATTTCATAGGGTAGGAAACTTTCCTTCACATTTTACATGAATTCTAATGAGAGGTATAAACATGCGCATGTTTAGATTTTCTTTCGAAGTTTCAATGTAAACTCTCTCTCTCTCTCTCTCATGTCTCTGTTTGGTAAATCAATACATAATCTTATATTTCCTCTACTTTTTTGGACCCTCTTATTTGTAAAAATAACACAAGAAATTTAAAGGATTTTAATCCTATAGAAAAAAATCTATAAAGGACTTTAAACAGAGGATTGAATCATATTATTTTCTTCAAAGTTCCTATGAATGGATAATCTTACGAAACATTTCAAAGAAAAGTTAGCAAAAGTTCAACCTCTTGAAAAAAAAAATTCTGAGTGTATTTCTCTCATATGGTTTCTATGTTTTTCCATAGGCTTAATTAAACGATCATTCTTGTATTTTGTATTTACATTCTTATCAATATCGCATGTGTTTTTTCAATCACGTGTGTTAAAGAAGCCCATATGAGACCTCTAGATATACTTTGTGCATATTTTTTAATTTTTATCGTTTGTTTTCTATACGATATAATAAGGTAATGTGTTCTGATCCTATTGTTTTTTTTTATTCCTGCTTCCAAAGAAGCCCATAGAGTTTTTCACAAGGATTAAGGAAATTGATGAAATTAAATATTGTTATGATTGGTTCAACTAAGAGATATAACAACTTAAAGCAATATTTTTTTTCAATTCTTCGCCTATATTCTATTCTCACCCAATCATATTCTTCTCCCGTTTAATTTTCAATTACTTTCTTATTAATATCCATGTTTAATTTTCAATTACGTTTAGTATGAGACAATTGGTGGATAAGTAAATTGTAGTATTTCGAGATAAATTTTAAATACTAAAAGTCATTATATTTTGAGTTGCCGGTAGGGCTTACAAAACCGTATGGTTATTACGGTTGTCATGTACGGTAACCTTCTCAGGCCCCCTTTGAATTAGAGGAAAAACAAAGGCAGGCCCCCTTTGAATTAGAGGAAAAATAAAGGAATTAAAATCCTACACTATTCATGCCTTTGATTCGTAGGAATGAGAAAAGGAAAAACGCAGGAAACTTTCCTTTCCGATGATTCTAGAGAAAAAACGTAGGAAATTTAACATCTACTCTAACCTCTTGGAAAACTTTCCCTGAGTCTATCTTTCTCATCTGAATCCTGCGTTTTTCCTGCGGTCCAACCAAACGGTCATTCCTGTGTTTTTTCTGTGTTTTGCAATCCTCTGTTTTACACTTGCATTCCTATAAGAATCCCGTGTTTTTATTCATCCGTTTTTTCAATCCAACGATTCAAAGGGGCCCTCAGTTTTTAAAACCATAGTATACCTCGCACTAAAAGTCATTATATTTTGAGTTGCCAGTAGGGTTTACAAAACCGTATGGTTATTGCGGTTGTCATGTACGGTAACCTTCTCTGTTATTAAAACACGGTATGCCTCGCACTAATGAGCGCGTGGTTTTCGCGATAACCCTAATGAGCGCGTGGTTTTCGCGATAACCGCCACTGTGGGGTGGCATAATCCCACCCAAAAAAAAGTTCGGTGAACCCCGGGTCGTCGGCGAGAGTAGCAGCCAGCAACTCACGAAACAGGTAATACGGGCATTTGCACGTACCTGCTGCCATTGAAGTGGTAGAATTATCAATAAGAACGACCAGGGAAGAAAATGGTACCAATCAGATGACCAGATACACACTTGAATCAAATTGGGGGAGCCTGAATGCTCATGATCACCCACTGCAAGCTCGTCCCAGCCAGCAGATTTAATTCCCGTATCCACCAAATGTACTGCTCTAGTGCTGTGTTTAAATGCAGAGGCAGTGGCAGCTACAGGACAAGAGCAAGGAGGCGAACGAGAACAAACAAATGCAAAAGACAGCACAGGAGAAGAGAGGCCGTGAACAACAAAAGAAACTCACTTGTAACTTCGTACTAAGCTAAATAAACAAAAGAACGACGTTGGTCAAAGGAAACAAACAAAAGTTGGAAGATACTGCTAAATTGCTAACTGAACCTGGCTGCTTCCACTATTTTCACCGTCTTACTTCGTGCTGCATGTGTCGAATTCACAGTGGTTTGCTACTTGGTGCTAATTGCTACCAGTTGCTAGCTAGCTAGTGCTATTACAGGATTGGTGAGCTACTCGGGTTCCTCTCCCACGGATTTGCCTGGCCGCCATGGGCGGCGCCGAAGGTCTCCGCGGCGACGGTGGCACTCCCGGCCAAGCTGACAGCGCCGCCGATGGGTTGGATGAATGTCGGGAAGCCCCTGCTTGTCGACGCGCCTGTCGGGCTCACTCCAAGCCCCAAGAAATCTAGTGTTGCCGGCTTGGCACTGAACAGTGTGGACTGACCCATCATGAGCTCCGGCAAGCTCACCGGACCGCCTGTCGCGTCGTATGGTAACCCGAGGCCGAGCCCGGAGGACAGCATTGGGGATGGCTCCGGCTGTAACCGCGGCGGCCATTCGGGCAGCGAACTCGCCGGGAGTGGCACTTGCATGGTTTCTTGGTGGTGATGGTGGTGGTGCTGTTGCTGCTGCCCTGACGACGAAGGCGGCGCCGACGATGACGATGACATGTCGAGGCCCAGGCAGCGGAGAAAGGACGAGCTAGACGAGGTGGCGCCCATCTGCGCGGCCTTCTGAAGCAACGCCGTGGCGGACATGTGCGGCGACGGGGACGGCGGTGGCGGCGGAGCGAACTGCTGCCGGTCAGCTGGTACAGGCGCCGTAAACAGCGACGACGACGCGTTGGGCGCGAGGCACAGCGCCGGAGGCTTGGCAGGCACCGCGCGCTCCTGATGGCCACCCGCTCCAACTCCGATGGGGTCCGCGTACTGCGGCGCCTGGGCCACCGACGGCGGTGCAAACATGCTGCTAAGGAGGCTTTGCGACGTCGGCGCCACGCCGCTACTGCTGCTGCTGACACAATCATTAGGAGCGGCAACCGGCGGCGGCGGAGGAGCAGTAACTGGCGGCGGCGCCGGCGCCGGCGCCGGCGTGGCGAACTGATCCAGTGCAGCATCCCGATCTGCATGCAGCGCAACGAGTGTAAGCGAATCAGGAGGCAGATTTAGATCACCCATATACTACTAGCTCGCTAGATTAATGTCAAGGTGCAACTAAAAGCAAAGCAATAACGACAGAGGCAGAAAGCAACGAGAGCTGAGCTCGCCATGATGAGGATCTTTTTCAATGTATTCATTTCATGAGCATGTCCTTTTTATCATCCGATTCAAGGTTCCAGGCTCCACAAAGGCACTCCGTTGGATTTACTATACAAAGCACCTTTCTTTCATCTTCGAAGAAACGACCAAGAACTAGCAATCCCCATGTTCTCTGCAGTTAAGGCATGTGAAAATATAGCCAGGTTTCGAGATGCGCGCGTGCGAGGAACGCACAACGAACGAACTACTGCCCCCCACCCCCCCCCCCCCCCCCCCCCAAAACTCTCGGGCATTTTTTTTAGCGCGCACATCAGATCGTGACAAAACCATCGATCCGCGAAACTTCCGCTCCCGTCTGCTTCTTCCCCCGCAAACGCCACAATCCTCCAAGAAGACAACGCAAGCATCAAGGCGGTACTGGAACTGCCTCTGCAAGTACTCTTTTGGTTTTGACCATGGGTTGGTAAAGTTGCGGATTGGATAGTAGAATTGGGGTGACCGCCATTAATTACCTCGTTGCTCCGGTTGCGCCGCGGGAGCCGGAGCTGCGGCCGGAGGAGGTGGCGGTGCTGGCGCCGGCACCGGCGCGGGTGGTGGTAGAGGCGCTTGCGGCGGCGGCGCACCGGCAGAAGCCGAGGTCCCGTCCTCGTCGGCCGGCGGCGGCGGCGCCGCGCGCGCCTTGGCGCTCTCCTCGGCCAGGGCGTCGCAGAAGGCGCGGTGGGTGATGAAGCTGTCCCTCCTGCGCGGCGGCGATTCGCCGGTCAGTATCGGCGGCTGCTCGATTAGAGGATGGAGATTGGATGGGAATCGAGAGGGAAGACGGACCGTGAGAATAAGGTGCCGCAGTCGCAGCGGTACTCGCGGGAGCCGCAGGTCTTGGTGTGCGCCTTCCAGTCGGACTGGACGGCGTACTTCTTGGAGCACTTGTCGCACTTCCACTTCTTCTCGCCGTGCTTGCGGCAGAAGTGCTTCTTGATGCCGGTGAGGTCGCCGAGCGCCCGCGACGGGTCGTGGTGCACGCACGTCGGCTCCGGGCACACGTACACCCGCTTCCGCACCTCCTTCCCGCTCCGCTGCCGCAGCTTCCACGGCAGGTTGTGCCCGCGCCGGTGCAGCTGCAGGTTCTGGTCGCGCTGGAACCCCTTGTTGCAGATCTCGCAAACGAACCTGTTCGTCGCCAGCAGCGTCTTGGGCGACAGCGCGATCACCTCCGCATCAGGATCTGCACCACCACGCGAACGAACGCTCGATCGGTCACCGTCGCCATCGATCATCTCGCCATCACGCATAACTCTAGTCAAATTAAGCAACCGGTACGGTTAACTAGTCAGTCACCTGGCATGCCGGGGAGTGCACGCTTCTTCTTGGCCGGCGGCTGCGGCTGCGGCTGCGGCGGAGGCTGCTGCTGCGCGCCCGCGCCCGCCCCGCGCTCGGCCGTCCCGGACGACGTCTCGACCTCCATCCGAGAATCTTTCTTTTGCAGAAGTTCCGTGGACGCGGGTACCACTCCCGCCGATGCTGCTGCTACTAGCGTCCAAGAAGCAAGCTGCCTCGAGCATAAAAGCTCGCGTCACGCCTTTGCAACGCAGGCCGGACGGTGGGGGCGACACCGAGCTACCGGTCACCGCGGCAACCACCGGTCGTGGACGCGGCGAGCAAACGAGGCGGCGGCGGCTGCTGCTGCTGCGTGTGGGAGAAGCCAAGGTGAGGAAGTGGCGGAGCTGGGCGGAGACCGGGAGATAAGAAAGGGAGCCAAGAGCGGTGCATTAACGACGAGTCCCGCGGGGGAGGAGGAGGGAGGGTGAGGTTACCGGCGCGACGAGAGCGACGTGGCACGATCTAAGCCGTACACGTGGTGGTGGGCGGGGATGGGCGTGGATTTGGCATCTGGCTAGTGGAGTCAAGCGGGCCGCCGATCGTGGCAGGCGCTTTGTCGTGTAGCGCGAGCGCAAATATTCTTTTGGATTTTTCCGCGTTTTATTTTAGTGCCAGGGCGCTTAATATTTGGTTTGTTGCTTTGAACGGTTGGGAAAGGAAAAGGGGAGACACTGTTTACGGAGAAGCTGATGTCTCACTCGTCTTTGATTGATTTGCCGATTTGGAATTATGATGCTTCGACTGTTTTTTTTTTCGCTGATTATATGTTGTACTGTCAGATCGAGCAACTTGTAATCCGATACCCATAAGTTAAAAGCAGTTATAGTCTAGATTAATCCATGATCCATGTCACTTCAGTTAACTCATGAGCTGACTTTTACATTCGTTTTGTTATAAACATTTTTCATTAAGAGCTGCCAGCATGCCACTTTTTATACCTGTTGAAGGCTAACAGTGCTGCAAGCTTCAGTTTTTTACAGTGCAATAAATAGCTTTTCCAAAATCTTAATACAGGATCAGGACAACATTGGGTCATTGGCGGCAACATGATTTATTACCGTACGATGGGTGTCAAGAGATTGCAGTGTTGCTGTTCTTGTTACAGCAGCGGCATCAACATGATCAGAAAAACAAAACAGAGGGAACATTGAGGACTGCACCTGTTGACGGGCAGAATACACGTCCGAGAGGAGAGCAAGTGGACCAAGTGCCAATAATTAGGACCAGCAAAGACATTGCTTACACTCAGAGTCTGAATAATGGATAAACAAGAAGTACCTGGCATTAGCCATCACGGTGCAGAACACCAGACGTCTGGATTGCCACCAAAAAAACAATCGTTGTTTGGATCGTTTGGTACAAGATTAAGTCAAAAGTCAAAGAGTTTCAGTAATTCAGTGCCTGAATATTTGGGTGGCGATGTTTTATTTCAGCTGATCAAATGAAATGGAGGGTCTAATTTAAGCATGCTTCTGTTGACCATATGCAGCACGTTTGGGTCAGGAAATGACTTCAAACCGGCTAAGCTCTCTTTTGTACATGGGTCTCTTTGTATATAGTATCATATAGGAGTATTATACTAGCTTCTTTTGCGTGCCAGAAGAGAACTCCTGAGCATCTATTATATTGTCAAAATGTATTACTCCCTCTATTTTTTTAAAAAAAAAAGTTTGAACGGCCAAAAATGAAAAAGGAAGAAATACTTTGCATCAGAAAAGTATGAACTCGGAAGAAAAAGATCTTTCGGTTCTAAACGGAAAGGGGAAAAAGGGAAAATAAGGATATGTCAAAAGGAATAGCCACCACGTCTTTAGATAGATATTTCACCTGCTTGGTTGACCACAAATTTTCATGTTTAAAAAATGAGTGCTTATAGGAGAATATGCAAGCTTTTTATTTAGCAACTAAAGAAAGCTATCCTTTTCACCAATTATTGTCGTTGGAGTAATGTATGCACTTCGTATAAGTACGTCACTTTCATCGTTAGAACCACGGGAAAAATAAAAGCAGTAAAGAAAGCGACTTACGAGAGATGCAACCTTTTATGTTAAGCTGAAAAGGCTTATCTTTAATTCTTTTTTATCCATGTTATAAGCTAGGTAACCTTTTCTTGTGGAGATCGCGTATGGACAGTTTCAGGAAAGAGTTGTAAGTTGCATTCGATCGATGACATTGGACGATTCATTCGAAAATTCAGTGGGTTATTTACTACAAAATATTCTATCGACGGAGTAGGCTAAGATATGAGCTACTCAAAAGCTTGAGTGGATGGATCAACACGGACCTAACTTTACTCGACACATACAGATCTTCTATTTAGGAATTTAGGTTCATTTTTTTGGTATATTCAAATCTATGCTAAAAATCAAGTGGAATATACATGTTTTAGAATTTTCTAACGGCATACTTTATCTGTGTGTCTGAGAGAATATGAAATGAGAATATTGAAAATATACTCAAAACAAGGTGGCAGTAGCGTATAATTAATTGAGTATTAATTATTTTAAAATTAAAAAAATAATTAATGTGACTTCTTAAAATAACATTTCTATAGATTTTTATTAAAAAAATATTATGTTTAGCCATACGGGAAATGTACGTGCGTGCTTCAAAACGAGATAAATCTACTCCAAGACGTAGTGTGTGTATGACAGATTTGTAGCCGGCTGTAGTACGGACTTCAAGACGCAGTGTGTATGACATGTGGGACCAGTTCTTGATAGTGTAGTATGTAACTATTGTATGAATGAGCTATTAGAATTGATACAGATGAATTGGAGCTAGTAGTTGGCTATACTACTAAACTTGCTCTTAAAATGTAAAAAAAGAAAAACTAAAAACACATTTAGCTTACTCCCATTATACCGGATCGGTACCATGGAAACAATTTCCGCGTTAACAATTTGGAAGCCACCTATTTGCCCTGATATCCAAGAATCCAACCGTGCAATTAGGCTTTTGAGAGAGTTTCGGTGCGATTCCACGTGTTTTCCTAGGCTGGCTTATAAAGTTGTACTCCTACTAACTATAGTCATTAGTGTACTACATCCAGACAAATGGCACGGGTCTTTCAGGATTTGATACAAAAGTAGATCGAATCGGCCTCTCCCTGAATTCTATAACTTCAGTACTCTTACCTCTAGGCCGAGTTTAGTTCTAAACTTCCAACTTTTCTATCACATCAAAATTTTTATACACACAAACTTTCAACTTTTCTATCACATCGTTTCAATTTTAACCAAACTTCTAATTTTAACATGAACTAAACACAAATCGAGTTCATTTGAAAAACGCATTGCTAGGTGCATTCTAGTAGTACCGGAGTACTACAAAGCTGGTTGAGATGACAGCGAGTGGCAATACAACAAAAAGCCGGCCTTGGCTTCTTCTTTTCTTCTCCAGGCGGCCTAAACGCATTGACCAACCCAATTGGCATCATCTGGACCAGCCGCCTCGCCAGCCAGGGCCATCAGTCTACTCCACTGCAATTCTTAATATGGTTTAGCTCACTTAACCCCTCATGGGTCCGGCCTGATTATCTTATCGTAACCTCCCTTAACCTTATCTTAACCGTTGCTGTCCAGTCGTAACACACACAATAATAGTCTACCAGTCGTTCGTGTTATTGTCAGGTACTGTTTTCTGGGGACCGCGTCCGTACCTGGCCCACATGTCACTGGCGAACAGGAAGCTCTCGCTCTCCGTGGTGCAACAAACAAACTTTGTCTTCATCTGTTTATTTTAAGTGTTTGGTTTGGGTTGCGTGTGCTTTGTTTTAGGGTGGACAGGGAAGAAGATTCTATTATAATGCGACGCAAACAACTACTCCTCTTCGATCTTGAAAAAAATACTCGGTGCTTCTCAGTTCTCATGTCACGTAAATCACGTTATACCAACCGAAAGCCGCTCAAACTGTACTGTATAGTCGCCTTCCTTCTCATCATGTTATTTTCGAGCATTGAGTATTAGGGTAAACTGTTTTATATAGCTAGTCCCATTAGCTATAGATTTGCATCTTGAAAATTTATCAGGTGTCTTCACGTTGAGGCCTTTGTAACGTTTGAACGGTCCAGCACTCCAGCTCAATCCCCGTCATCAGCCGGCGAGCGGGCTGACCACCACCGTCTACTATACGGATGTTTTTAAGTTTTTGTACGAACAATTCACCACTGGTTGCATGCAGGAGGGAGCACTGCCGAGGCATGATTAAAACCGTGCTGCCGACCTGCCGTACGTCCATTACATTCAGCCACCATTACGGCGGCAGTCAAGTGCGTTCAAGTGCATCTGCTTGTAGTACTCACTTCGTTCAAATATAAACATAATATAATATATGTGTAACATGTATGTTTAGATTCATAGTAGAAAATATCACATTTATAATATGTTGTATTTATATTGGAACGAAGGGAGTAATAAATTAGTAGTTGGCATGCACAATGTGTTTGATTGCGGTAAAATTTTCCCGTAATACACATATATGGATCTCTACGGAAAAATTGTATAAATGTTGTATAGTGCAAAATTTATAGGTAGTGTAAATATAAAAATTATCATAGAATATATAAATGGATGTTTAAGAGTTGTCCACGCCACCTAAGAGTCCTGGTTAAATCTGGAAGAAAAAAAACTTTAAGTGATGCGTATAAATCTAAGCATCCATTTGTATATACTACGGTAGTTTCAGATATGCACAGTTTTTATTACATATTTTCCTGACATCTACATCTCTACCACAGTTCTTATTATCGACATTAGTAGCCACAAATCCAACTAAAATAAGAGAATTATAATATGCTCACAATGTGCCAAGGCAGTTTATTTTAGATCTCTTCCATTATTTTTGAGATGATGGAAGTATTACTTCCGGCCATTAGGTCTCTTCCCATCTTTCCTCATGGAGCAAATTAGACCCTCCTCCTTGCTTTCAGCCTGGTAAGTACTTGTGTTATTCAAGCTCCCTGCGTGTCATTGGACGTTAAGTCCTGAAAGCTCCTATTCAGGCCGATCTGACATGAGACATCCGGGAATAATAACTCCAGGTCCATGGATCCAACAACTCAATTAACTCCAGACCACAATTCCGATCGCTTTATTACCTACTGCAAACCTTGACGAGAAATGCTCCATTACACGGTGGTGTCACCGGTCCTTCTCCGTGAGCTCGCTACCAAAAATGGTCACACTCCTCGGGCAAACTTGTACGGCAAACCAAATATAATTATTGACATATGGACCTCCGGAGTCAAAAGTAAAGTAGAATCCCGATGCACGCCGCGCGGCGCGGGAGTCCATGACAACACGTTTGCGCACGACATCGACCCCATTATCGAATCTTCAACAATTGAGTCAGTGACTATAATTGAGATGAACGTAAAATCTGGGAGGAGCTGTGGCGTTGCACAACCGTACTTGTTGGCCGCGCGAGGCCACGCACGAGTGAGGGTAGTACGTGGTGCCGTAGTCTGATGAGGCGGCCAGTGAGCCCTGTTGTTCACTTGAATTCTCTGGCCTGGGTTGTCACCTCACCGATCAAGCTAGCGCACGCGGTCGCGCGCAGAGCAGGCGGCCGTGCCGTGCCTGTGTGTCGCACTGTAGCCTGCGCCTGATGCGCGGCTAGCGGCCACTAGCGCGCGACGCGCTGCCGCTTTCCCCCCCGCGCGCATGGGGGCCGGACCCCACGAGAGCGCGGGCGCGCGCGCACGCACGGCGTCGTTGCCTGCCTAGCGTAGCCTAGCGCGGAGTGTGCGCGGCGTGGCAGGCGCGGGCGCGCATTGAACTCGTTCAGTTCAGGGGGAGGGGGCCGACCCGACGACGAGGAGGTGATTGGATTGGATGCGGGGAGTCATCGCTGCTCTGGTCCCGTGGCTGCCGCGGCGGGAGTACGGGGCTGCTATCGCATGCACATTTATGTGTTTTCACGTTGGACAAGGAAAGCGCGCAGCTTTTATCGGGGGGCCGCCGGGCCGGGGCGGGAGGAGTTAAGGGTAGTGGTAGCCGGTGGGGCGGCACCAGGTCCAGGTGGAATGGTGGGTGTGTCGGATTTCTTTCGCAGCAGCAGCTGCCCCAAGCCCCCAAGTGGGAATTAACTGCTTTTGCAAGTACCACCTCAAGCAAGGGCACAAGTCGCTGATTGCTGCTTACTCTTGCTACCCTCCTAATCCTAGCTGCAAGTCGACTCGGTTACGAGAAAGATTGCATTGCTGTGCGCTTGGAATTTGGATTACTACTAGTAGTACTTCTTTTAATCCAAACATGCAGACATTGTGTAATCTACAGTGTTGATTTTTGAGATATGCTCATGCATCGGCATTCTTCTAAGTTTTAAATCTCTAAACAAATGCAACAACTCTGGTCCTGTTCCAAACGAAAATGAACTAGGTATTTTGGAGGAAACCTAGCATAACTTCAAACATCTAAAAAAGTTTCCTACGATTTACTCTAAAATATAGCATCCTAAAACATAATAAGGCTCAACCTATTATTACGAATGTGGATACTCATATTCGATACTAAGCTGCTATATTTTGGGACAAAAAAAATTGTTTTTATGAGAAGCATCCAAACAATACAAATGAGCAATTCCTATGTCTCGATATTCCTTGGGATCATGTTGGAATGCCACCCTACCTTTGTTTTTCTACTTCTTGAATTCCACGTTCTGAAGGAGTCATCACTTTCCTCTCTAATCATTTTTTCTTAAGGCATTGTTTGGAACAAATGAAAGAGTATAAGGTAAGGTGATAATTTATTTACTTTTAAATGAAGCGAAAAGATGATCATTAACTTTATTTGTTGTGATTGAGTTCTACACACCCATTCCTTCAATCCAAGCGGTAAGAGTCTAAAACAATTCGTGTGTCCTGCATTTTTTTTTATTTTCACGTTCCTTTGTTCCAAAAGCAGGCCTGTAACCTGTTTACCCGTCAAAAAAAAAAAAGAAAGAGAAGAGAGGCCTGTGTAGTTTCCATTTTTGGGGAAAGGGCCTGTGTAACTGGGAATAAGTTCACTTTAGGTCCCTCTATTTGTTGGTCAGTCTGATTTTCGTCCCTTGACCACAAAACCGGTTACGACCCGTCCCCAACTTACAAAACCGGACAAACGAGGTCCCTCAGTAGTATGGAGGCCGGTTTTGACTGACATGGCATATACGTGGCTCATTTGACTAGGTCTTCGTCCCACGTGGTAATGACGTGGCGCTTACATGGCAATTTTATCCCCAAAAAATAATAAAAATAGTGGGACCCATATGTCAACTACACAAAAAATAATTAAAAAAGGTGGGGCCCATGTGGTCCCACATGTCAGCCTCCATCTTCTCTCTATCCCCCCTCTCTCTCCCCCCTACACTGCCAGGAGAGAAGGGTGAGCGGCAGCGGCGAGGGGGCGACGGGCGGAGCGGTGTGGCGGCTGGTGGTGGACGGAGTGACGGTGGGCGGCTGGCGGCGGGAGGAAGCGGAGCCGAGCGGCAGCGGGCGGTGGGCGGAGCGACAAGGGCAGAGAGGCCGGTGAGCCGCCGCTCCTCTTCCACCCTTCCGTCAGCCGCCCTCTCCACCGGTGCGGCGCGCGCCACAGCTCCTCTCCCTCCCACCCGTCGACTGGTGTGCGCCGCCAACCCTCTCCCGTCGGCAGCCGCGCGCCGGTCCCTGCGCGTCACTGCTCCTCTCTTGCCCTACAGCCGGTCGCCGACCCAAGCGCACCGCCATTCCTCTCCCTCCCTCCCGCCGGCCGGCGCACGCCGCCGCTCCTCTCGCGTTGGAGGTGCACGCGGCGTCCTTGGTGAGGTCGCCGCCGCTCCGTCCGCCTCTCCGCTCTGCCCGCGGCATGTCGCTGCCGCCGCGAGGACGAGGGAGAGCCGAGAGGAAGAAGAGGAAGAGCCAAGAGTGGAGAGGGAGAGGGGAGGGGAGCCGGGGAGCTCAGCTTAGGGGGGCGGCGGGAGCGGCATCATCGGCGTCGCTCCGCCCACCGCCCGCCGCCGCTGCGCCCTTGTCGCTCCGCCCACCGCCCGCTGCCGCTCCATTTCGCCTCGCTTCCTCCCGCCGCTGGCAAGTGCAGAAGAACATACAAATGGCGATTCCGTGGTCACTAGGTTACATGAACTGAATAACCTTGATACTGAATTGTGTGATCACTAGTGTTACCTTTGACGTCTCGATGTATCATTCCATTGGGTGCAGTGTTCCTGTTCAAGCACGCCAACTCGAGGGAATTCCAGCTGAGCCCTGGAGGGAACAAAGACAAGGGCGCCATTGCCGAGCAGCGGGTGTCGCTGCTGCGATCGTGGCTGCCGCTGCTCTGCCGCGGCAGCAACGGCACGAATGCGCCGGTGCTGAGCAGCATGGAGAGGACGTTGCTCCATCCACCGCCCGCCGCCGCGCTGCTTTGCTCCGTCGCCGCTCTGCCCGTCACCCCCTCGACGCCGCCGCTCGCCGTTCTCTCCTAGCAGTGTATAGGGGGAGAGATAGGGGGGATAGAGAGAAGAGGGAGGCTGTCATGTGGGACCACATGGGCCCCACCTTTTTTAATTATTTTTTTAGCTGACATATGGGTCCCACTATATTTATTTATTTTTGAGATAAAATTGTCACGTAATCGCCATGTTAATACCACGTGGGACGAAGACCTAGTCAAAGGAGCCACGTAGGCGCCACTGTCGGTGACATGGGACCGGGAGTATCATGACTTAGAGACTTGAGGCAGACACGATCACCCACGTGGCCTAACCCCCTCGGGGGGGGGGGGGGGTCGGGCCCGAGGGTGATACGGCCGCCCTTCTCTTTGTCTCCCCGAGGGGTCGGACCGCTCCCGTCTCGGCCCCGAGGGCCGAGGCGCCCCGACCCCTTGTGGGTTTTGCGCCGCGTATATGGGGTAGGTGAGCATAGCGGGGCTCACCTAACCACATTTATTGCGGTTTGGACGAGCGCGTCACGCCGCATGTAACGCAGTGCAGCGCGCTCGTTTATCCGGTCTGTGACCAGTCACAGACCGATCAGATCGTGGGTTAGGTGGCGACAGGCGGTCTGACGCACGCCTCGCCCCATCCCGTCAGGATGAGAGCCTCCAAGCACTCGTCCCTAGCCGGAGCCGGCGTGTTAGCTCCTGGAGATGGCACGTTGGTCCCGGTCAGATATATACCAGGCTTCATCCTAACCATTACAAGCAAGACATTGTATGAAGAGGGGCGAACATGCAGATTGATAAACTGACGCGTGGTGGACAAGAATGACCGATTTGTGACCGGTCTGACACTGGTCATGTCGTCAGCAGACAGCCATGTTCCCACGTCGCGCCTGCTTCCGGCGGAAGTGGAGGTAGGTATGGGCCGTCCCATCAGAAGGTCATTCGGACGGCAACCATACAAGTCTCCGTCTGTTTATGAAAAGATAGGATAAGTCCCCACAAAAAGAGAGAGATGGTGCATGTGGTATCCCCTTGAGGTATAAAAGGAGGACCTTGCCCACTTAGAAGGGGATTTTTTTTTCGGATCCAGAACGATCAGAGAGGGAGAGAGTAAGAGCTCTCTGGTTCTCCAGCTCTTTTGTAGCTTCTTCATACATAGATCCACAAAAACACAGGAGTAGGGTATTACGCTTCTCAGCGGCCCGAACCTGTATACATCGCCCGTGTCTTGTGTGTTTCCATTCTCGCGAACCTTCCACACACAGACTAGGAGCTTAGAATCTCACCCAGGGCCCCCGGCCGAACCGGCAAAGGGGGGCCTGCGCGGTCTCCCGGTGAGGAGCCCCACGCTCCGTCAGCCACGTAGACGCTACGTCGGCCAAAACCGCCCTCCATACTGCCGAGGGACCTTGTTTGCTCGGTTTTTGTAAGTTGAGGGACGGGTCATAACCGGTTTTGCGGTCAAAGGACGAAAATTAGACAGTCCGACAAATAGAGGGACCTAAAGTGAACTTATTCCGTGTAACTAGGGTGAATTTCTAGAAGAAAAAGGCCCAACCCAGTTGATCCTGGGCCATTATCCCGTCAGATACCGTACGTCCCACGAAGAAAAGCAGCCCAGCCCGTGGAAGCCGTCTTGCTCCCCAATTCCCCGAGCTTTTCCTCCCATCTTCCCCGCAGATCAAACGCCCCCCAAAACCCTAGGCCCCCCTTCTCCTCCGACGCCGGCTACAGTCTCCGACCCCTCCGGCGCAATCGCGGAATCGGAGGCGGCGGGCGGCGCCATGGACAACGCCCTCGCGAGCGCCGCGGCGATCGCCGACCAGCGCCAGAAGATCGAGCAGTACCGCCACATCCTCTCCTCCGTCCTCTCGTTTTCCCCGCCGGACATCTCGCAGGCGAAGCGCTTCCTCGACCACAGTAACGAGCCCTCTATCTTTGCCCCTTTACCTGTTGATTCGTATGGATTTTGTTCTGGTTCGGGTGTGACGGTTGGGTTCGGTGCGGCCGCAGTGGTTTCCGACGAGGTGCCGCTCGTGGTGTCGCGGCAGCTGCTGCAGACGTTCGCCCAGGAGCTTGGGAGGTTGGAGCCAGAGGCTCAGAAGGAGGTCGCGCACTACGCGCTCACGCAGATCCAGCCTCGTGTGGTCTCCTTCGAGGAGCAGGTTGGCACCTTTGTTTATACCCTTGGTTTCAAATCGTCAATGCTAGCCATATAGTAGTTCTGAATACATATGTTTTACTGTATAGTGGGTAGAATTGGTACAAATTTTCATGGATTTTTTCCCCGGTGATGATTATAGTTTATATGTATGGTAGTGGAGCCGTAACCGTCGCTTTTGTGATATCAATTTGAGTCATGTGGCATAATGTTATTGCAAGGGCTCATGACTCCACACAGTGCATGGAGATGATGCCGCTACCTTACTTCGTTTGGACAAGTTTATCGAGGCGAGTATGGCATGGTTCATTTTTGGAATTCATTGCCTGCCAAACTCTTAGTTTTGGAGGAATGTTTGTACTTGGTAATGATGTCAGCCAATGGTTAAGCTAGAGCATGAGATGGAGTGATGATGGGTTTGGCTAATGCCACACAGCTTGCCAGCCCATTTTATTAATTTATGGAGACTAGTTGTTCCCCTGGTGGTAGTGTACATGAAGAAAAGTATTACATGACCAAGCAATGCTATGAAGTGACTGGTGTTAGTTAGGGGTCTGAATAGGAAAGAAACTTGTCTGGAATGCAATGCATGATTCTGCGCATTGCCTGGGATGGTGGGGCCTTGTGTAAATGCTTTGTATTTCTCATCTTCCTAGTGATTTTAACATATAACATATTTATAAAGACACCGTACATGTTAAATTAATGATTGTTCATTAAGCGTTGAGTTTTTACGGATGCAGAAATTGACTATGTAATGCTATGTTTGGAGCGCATCTGATTAGGATGTATCTGTGCTGTGTGTTGGAACAAATCATTTTGTATATGATAAACAGTATTTCTTTAGGTTCTTTGTCTTTTGTTCTTTTATAGCTTATAGTGATTGCTATAAGAAAGGATAGTAGTGCAATACAAATAATTGTTGCTTCCACATGATTTGTGCCCGTGTGCATGCTACAGAAATGTAATTACTCTAGGTTGCCTTTTGGTTGATAAGAGTTCTTGCATAAGTTTCAATTTATACTGTCTGAAAGCTTTCATCTTTGTCAACCACAGAACAATTCAATGCAATTGTGGATTTGTTTTACTGAAGTGGTTACTCGTGTTATTTATGCAAGATTCCTAGTTTTAGAAGATTATGAAGAGCGGCCCAATTTGACATAATGATGTAAAAAATTGTTACGAACAATGTAACAATATATACATTCATGTTTGTTGGTGTGATAATGGGTCTTCTGTATTAGTATCTTTATAATTTACCCTATGCCAATTTTGGGCATTTTTTCTTGCAAGCTTAACCAAACTTCCGAACAAACTAACTGTTACTTTTGTTTGACCTTTGTTGGTATTATGCAGAGAAATTCTGCAATATTCTTAATCTTCTATTTGGCTGTTTATGATTTGACAGGTGGTAGTGATTAGAGAGAAGCTTGCAGAACTGTATGAGTCTGAACAACAATGGTCAAAAGCTGCACAGATGCTTAGTGGGATTGACTTGGACTCAGGGATCAGGTAGAAACTGACTTACTTTTCTTTCTGAACATGTGTATGGCTTTTTCTTCAGGACATGAAGCATCTGATTCAAATTTAAATTATCAGGATGCTGGATGACACAAACAAATTATCCAAATGTGTCCAGATTGCACGACTTTATTTAGAGGTTAGCATTGTTTGTTTGCTGTTGGCTTTAATGGTACATATTTCCAGCTTACTAATTTAGTTCTTCATTTATAGGATGATGATTCTGTTAATGCTGAAGCTTTTATTAACAAAGCTTCATTTTTGGTAACAAACAGTCACCAAGAACTTCTGAACTTACAGTACAAGGTTTGTTGATGCTGGCTCAGTTCAATATTTTTGTCTACATTAAAACAGACACTTTTACTTATTTTCTTCTTTTTTTATATATATTTAAGGTATGCTACGCTAGAATTTTGGATCTGAAGAGAAGATTCTTGGAAGCTGCACTTCGATACTATGACATCTCTCAGATTGAACAACGCCAAATTGGTGACGAGTAAGATTTTCTCTACATAGTTGCAGATTTGTTTCCCTTTTCAATTCATGTGTTTCTTATCTCCATTATCTGTAGTTTGCTTGTTCTGTGGTGACTACTCTATTTCTGCACCCTTCTAGCAATACATTATATATTTTCCAATTCCCCTGCCCCCTTGCTATTAACATCTTGGATATTTCCACTTAAATTTTACAGTTGTTACATTAGCAGCTGATACTACTTATAAAAATTCCTGATGGAACACTCTGCATGTGATCTCAGAGAGATCGATGAAAATGCTTTGGAGCAAGCTCTTAGTGCTGCTGTGACATGCACAATATTGGCTGGTGCTGGTCCGCAACGATCTCGTGTTCTTGCTACATTGTACAAGGTATTTGCTTTGTTGGTTTATCATAACATTCTGGTTTGCAGTGCTTGTTATATCTACATGTCATTTATTGTCTGCAATAACTTTTTATGTATCATACTATCGTAATCATCTTTGCCCTTTCCCTGTGCCATGTTTATCAAATGGACAAATCTGAATTATCAGATGCTCTGCAGAGCTCTGTATCGATATTGATTGGTTTCTGTTATGGAGCACCATAGGTTGTGGCTTTAGCTTACTATGATATACATGCTGTGGCTTCTCTCCCTTACGCAGTGATTTGTATTCCCATTTACTGTACATCATTCTTGGTACACTCCAAAATTTATGTTTTCCGGGGAAAAAAGTATGTATATTGAAACAGAGGAATTGTCTCCGAACTCATTGGAATGTGGCATCATTATACAAAAACTTAACCCATTTGATATTGAATTACTAATATCAAGATCCTTCCAAATAGTTATTTAGGATTTTTTTTATAGTTCTGCTAAACTAATAAATATGCTAGCATCCAGTTTCAGTGGGTAGTTTATAGTTTCATACTGTTTGATGTTGACCAATCTGTAATCATGGTCATCAAATGAACCAACACCTTGTATCAACATTGTAGTAGCATGAAAATACAATTGTTTTGCATCTGATTTTTCTCATTATAGCGGTGCTTAAATTATGACTCGTGGCATGATTTTATACTGTCTTTTCCCTTTAGGATGAGAGATGCTCAAAGTTGAAGATATACCCAATACTGCAGAAGGTGCCTATCTTGATATACTCCCCTGGCATTTATATTTGGAGCATAAGCTCCCTTTATTGACAGGCCTTCTACTTCAAATGTGTAGGTCTTTCTTGAAAGGATTTTGAGGAAACCAGAAATTGAAGCATTTGCAGAGGAGCTGAGACCGCATCAAGTTAGTGAACATACTCTCTTCCAAGATAACTTGTAGTAGTAGCTTGTAATTTTATTGACTGGATTTTTCTTCTGTTCAACAGAAAGCTCTGTTACCAGATAAGTCTACTGTGCTTGACCGGGCAATGATTGAGCATAACCTCCTTAGTGCCAGTAAACTTTACACTAATATCAGGTTAGTTTTTGCATTGAAATTTTCCTGGGTCATTGTGATTTATCATTCTGATCAACTATTGATTTATTTCTGTAGCTTTGATGAGCTTGGAGCATTATTGGGCATTGACCCTAGGAAGGTTAGTATTTTGGTTAATTTTTCCTGTTGATATGATACATCATTTCATGTTTATAGAGACAGATTCACACAAAGTCCATATGACTAAGAAAAAGAAAAGAATTTGGAATATATGGGTTCTGAGTGGTACTTGCTGGAAACTAGTCAAACTGGGAAGAACCACCGAATTTCACAATTTAAAATCAAATAGGATAGTTCAAATCATCTGGCCTGTAACTGGTACCAGGAAGAACTGGCATTTTCTCTATAAATTCTTTATTTATGTTTGATTTTAAATATGAAAGTATTCAAATTGGAGTCTTACTGCAACTGATTTTGATGCTGGCAGGCTGAAAAGATAGCATCGCGAATGATTTATGAAGATAGGATGCGAGGTTCAATTGATCAGGTTTTATTCATATGACTTCCTTAATCCTTATGTTGATATTCATACTATTCCACCATTTCGAGCAGACATCTGAAATAGACTTACACTGTAACCATGTTTTACCGTTTGTGGTTTAATTCAAGTTGTTATGAGATTAACTCGCCTGGCTTATTTTACAGGTTGAAGCTGTGATACATTTTGAGGATGACACTGAAGAGCTGCAGCAGTGGGACCAACAGGTTAGTTTACCCGCACACTCGTGCTTGGCGTTTCTAGCATTAGCTTAGGCACCAGTTTTTTCTGCACAAGTATATCTCTTTCCCCATTTTCCCAACCCACTTCTTGTTTTACGTGCGCACACTTTTCAAACTGCTAAACGGTGTGATTTATACAAAAACTTTCTATATAAAAGTTGTTTTAAAAAACATATCAATCTTTTTTTTTAAAAAGTTAATACTTAATTAATTATGCAACAATACGAGCGTGCGCCGGGGAGAACACAGCCACATACATACCGCTAAACCTCGGATGTGGTTTCAGATTGCGGGACTGTGCCAAGCGCTGAACGACATTCTGGACAGCATGTCAAGCAAGGGAATGGCTATTCCTGTGTGAGCTCTTCAAGTTGCTTCGATGGTACTCGTGAGAACTGTGGTCACGGCGTCAGGCCTCACGGACATTTTGTACAGATGTTCGCAGCTGCGAGTACCAGTCATGTTTCGGAACGAATTTTGGCCACAATTAGTCGGTGATCGGTACATGTGAAGTTGTGAACTGCTGGATAGATTAAGGCAGTGGCGCCGTAATGGCATTATATCACAAACCAAAATTGATCGTGATAGCATTTTATGCCTTGTTTTCTTCTGGTATGATGATGGTTGTTGGGACAGGATACTCAGATCGAGCCCCGATCGGAGTGGGTTTAGTGTGAGTGATTGCTTAGGAGGAACGGTGAGACAGACGATTGCAAGAGCGGGTAGATTGCAGACTTGGAGCAGGGCTCTCATCCTTCTCGAGCCATTGGAGGCTAGGTACAGTGATCCTGTTTGAAGGTGCTTCGATTTCTGTCTCCAAGTCTCGGCCCAAAACAATGTAACATGAGAGGAAAGCTACGTTTATACACATTAACAGCTTACTTAACCGTTTACAGGCGGGTTCTTGGAAGGGAGGAGGCTACGATTATACACATCAACAGCTTATTTAACTCAGCTACATCACGACACAGTGGAAGAAACGAAAGTACGCACGTAGTATGCAGGCCGGCCTCTACACGAGCAAGACCAGCATTATTTACGCAGAAACTACTGTAGCTGGACGCGTTCACCTCCAAATGTCCCTCTCTGCTCACTTGCTTAGCCACTGGAGAGCCTGCCCTTGATTCCGATGAAGCGTTTTTTCAAGCTCCTGGGCAAACGAATCTGCCGCTCTCCCCAGTCTCCTTCCTCCTCTTCCCTCCTCGGTTTTGGCTCATCTCCTCTTCCATCCTCTTGCTCCTCCTCCTCTTCCTCTCTCCTCCGCTCTTCTTCTTCCTCTTCTCTCCTCTGCTCTTCTTCCTCCCTCCTCTTCTTCTCTTCCTTCTCCCTCTGCCTCCTTTCCTCCTCCTCCCGCTCTCTCCTTTCCTTCTCTTCTTCTTCCCTCCTCTTCCTCTCCTCTTCTTGTCTCCTCCTTTCTTCCTCCTCTTTCTCCCGCTGCCTCCTCTCTTCCTCCTCCCGCTCTTTCTCCCCCTTCCCTCCACCACCCTCTTCCTCCTCCTCCGCCTTCCTCTCCAGCTCCTCCGCGCAGGAGGTGCACGCCATTATCGTCGACTCGCGCTGCGACGACAGCAGCCTCCCGACGTTGGTGGAGTTGTCCTGGCCGAGCGACCGCGCCAGAATCTCCTTGCCGATCACCTGCAGGACGGAGTGCCTCCCGGCGAGGAACTGCGGGTGGTTGTGGCCCATGTCGGTGCTGAACCCGACGAACACGAACGAGTCGTTGTTGAAGGATATCTGCGCCATGGGGTGGAACCGCGGCACCACGAGCACGTCGCCTTCCTTCACCCTGAACAACGAGTTCTTGCACCGGACGCCGCCGCCGCCGTGGCCGTGATCGCCACGGCCGCCCTCCTCATCGTGGTGATGCTTCTTGCTCTCGCCGGACGGGATGCTGGGACAGACTATCTGCACCATCCCCGCGCCCTGGGTCACAACGGCGATCTCGGTCGCTCTCGGGTTCCAGTGAGGTCCCATCATGGCGCCCTGCAAATCGAAGAGACGAAACAAACATTTGGTCTCTTTCCAGGATAAAGCAAGCTGAAAATGTGGCCGCTTATGTACGACATTATTACCGTGGTCAGGTTCACCATGAACATGCCAATGTTGGATCCCCGCAAGGTCTCGAGGTCTCGGTTGGTCATCGATCTGCTCCATCCGTAGCAGTTCTCGACGTCCGGCTTGCCGGAGTAGAAGTTGAAGGCCTTGCTCTTGGACTTCTTGTCCTTGCCCTTGTGCTTGTCCTTTTGTTTGTCCTTCTTCTTCTTGTTCAGGAAGTGAGGATCTCGCACTCCCCACAGCGCGTCGGTGATTTCCTCCGTCCAATTTGACGAGTCGTCCTCGTCCTCCTCCTCTGGATTATACGGTATGATCGCCGGCGGGGTTTTGGTCGATTTGATGGATTCCACAACTTCGCGTGGAACCTTAGAAGATGAACAGCACAATGGTTTTAGATTTTCAAAAGGGTAAAACATGTGTGTAATGCATACCATGAATTACGATTTATTCTAGTAACACTTACCCCGAAGCCCGGTCGAAGGACTTCTACTTCAAATCCTTTCAACAGGTCACTGACAAAGGAATAAACTTCTGATGTCGGATGCTGCAAAACCGTTGGTTAAATTTTGTTCAGACGAAATTAAGTAGTCCACTGGCCACCAAACAATTAACTTTGAATCATGCGTGTAATCTCATTATTAAAAAAAATCATGTAAAGGTTGTTGATACTTTGATATTGATAGACGTAGTTACGTACCCTTGGGTCATCAGCGTTGATGCTGTCGCTGGTGAAGATGGCGTAAATTTGAAGGCGCTCTCTCGTGCCGCATGCGTTACTCTGAATGTAGAGGATGGTACCCTGATCGAAGTTGTAGACGTCCCCCCTCTCCACCTGAAGCGAACTTGATTCACTGTCCCCTTCTTCTATGTAAGTCACCTTGCCCCTCCCTATATCGCAGCAGCCACAGCATTAATCAAGTCACATAAACACGTTTAGTTTAAGAAAAGGACGCCATAAGTTTCATCGTCAGTGTGCTCATATGCTTGTTGATCGAAGGGAAACAGTAGCTGCCTACGTAGTAGTAGTACCCACCGCTGTGCACGTAGAACACCATGTCGGCGTGCAGCTGCACGGGGAGGAACAGCGTCCCGGGGCTCATCGTGATGAAGTGCAGCCGGTACGCGGTGCCGGCCGCGTCGGCGACATCCACGGCCGTCACCAGGCCAGCGTCGCTCGCGGCGACCACCCTCCGCCACTCCTTCTGCACGAGGTGGCCGCCACCACTCGCCTCGCCGCCGGCGCCATGCCACCACTTCTCGCGCGACGCCGTGGCCGCCGCCGACACGGCCAGGAGAAGGACGAGCCATCGAACCGTCGCCGCCGCCACCGCCATTCTCCCCCACCGCTCTGCTCGCTTTTTCTGACCGATAGATCGTCCCGCGGTGTGGGGTGCGATGCGAGGCGAAGCGGAGAGGCCTCGGCGGTCGATAATGTATAGGCAGGCGATGGGAGGCGCGCGCGCGACGTGGGGGTGGCGTGGCGTGGTGTCACCGTGCATGGGCGCGACGTGGCCTGGTGAAGACAGAGGGGTGATAGCTCGCTGGACCGATGCGGTTCGTGACGGTGCGCCGCGTGAGACCGGGTGCGCTGCGCTGGCCGCTTGGCTCCGGTGGCGCGGTGAGGTGAACTGGACCGCGCGGTGTGTGTCCTTCCCTCAATCCTCATCCTGGTGGCACTTCTCTCCTCGCCTTCTAACCGTTGGATGGATGGACCAACCGACTGGATCATCCGACACTCTCGTAGTCTTATGCCCTGCTTGAGTTGCATTACCCGACTTTGAACCGCACACGCTCCTGAGTCCTGAAGTGTTTCTGGGCCGGCTCCAGGCCTCCTGCTTGTATGCTGGTTGCTGGGCCGTAATATTTCTCTTGAACTGTTCATTGCCTTGACAAAAAGAACTTCGCCCACGTGCACGATAGTGCTTTATTAGTTCTAATCGGAGACTACTCCATCCCATATATAAATCCGTTTTAGCCTAAGGTGCATGTTTTTCTTTTATCCTCTTTAACTATTTGTATCATTGTACTCTATATAAAATATGTGACAAAACATGATCCATATTGAACATATTCAAATATTTTATTAACTTAAAAGTAATTTATTTAAATTATAGAAGTACCTTAGCTATGTAGTAGAAGTAGCTCTCTATAGCATTAGAAGTAATTACATTATGACTGAGTTGAAATAAAAATCTATCTAGAGTAAATTCACAAACAAAGTGTAGAGAAGATTTTTCAATAAATTTAAATGATAATCCAATAATATTATTTTCATCCAATAAATTTAATTTATAATAAATTATTTATTAATCAAATATTTAAAGAGTTGAATCTAAAACGTGTGTGCACCTGAGTGAGTAGGACGGAGAAAGTAGCAAATAGATCTTACCTAAAAATTAATTTTCATAATATCCACCAGGTAAATGAACAAAGCCGTTTGCTGAAAAAAAAAAGAGCAAAGGGGTGTGGCTAATGAACAAAGCCCGCCCCTCCCCTATATGGTCTCTCCTCTTCCTCCTCCCCTTCTTCTCCCTACTACAGTGCACCATAAAATTTTAAAAAAATTAAAAAAAGAAAGTTGAAAAAATTTATGTATAAAAATACTATGTATAATTTTTTTTTTGAGAATATATATAAAAAATATTTGAATTCGAATTCAAATTTGAAACGGGTATATAAACTTTTGACTTATAAACTTTGGGTCTATAAACTAATATTTGAATTCAAATTCAAATTTGAACGGGTATGTAAACTTTTGACTTATAAACTTTGGGTCTGTAAACTAATATATGAATTCAAATTCAAATTTGAACGGGTATGTAAACTTTTGACTTATAAACTTTGGGTCTATAAACTAATATTTGAATTCAAATTCAAATTTGAAACCGGTATGTAAACTTTTGACCTATAAACTTTGGGTCTATAAACTAATATTTAAATTCAAACTCAAATTTGAAACGGGTGTGTAAACTTTTGACTTATAAACTTTGGGTCTATAAACTTTTGGTGTATAAACTTTAGGTGTATAGAAATACTATATATAAAAATATTTGAATTCAAAATTTAAATTTGAATCGGATATATAAACTTTTGACTTATAAACTTTGGGTCTCTAAACTTTCGATATGTAAACTTGAGGTGTACAAACTTTAGGTGCATAAATTTACTAAAATAGGAAAGTAATTTGGTACCGAAAAAAAAACAGGTGGAGAGAGGGGGATACAAAACCTGATCGCTAGGGGCGATCGATCGCCCCTTAGCAATCTCGAAGGAGATCGGAGAACATATGTAACCGGCCGGTTCGGCTGTCTCGATATTCAACCACAGAGAAAAATCAACCTTACGGACTGTCCAGCAAGGACTAGGCAAACGTTCTTACTAATATGGCACCGTTAAGATATGACAGGCTACCTGGTTATTAAGTACGACACGGGCAAATCCGAACCTTAACTTACGTTACAAACTCCCAGATGTATCCCCGCTCTTGGAACGGAACTTCGATCGCCGAAGATAATCGATACACACCACATCGATTTTTGCCCAAGCTCCGTAGAATGAAATCAAGGTTCATCACGAGCATTTGGGGACGACCTGCGGCAGATGAAATCTTTTTTTCCTTACCGAAGCTTTTGTACTTACACGGTCACTAATTGCACACCGGAGTAGTATTATTCCTCTCTCCATACTCGTAAAGGAAGTCGTTTTAAACAACGACATGGTCTCTAAAACACAATTTTAATTTCTTGTTTTTATAAAAATATTTATTGAAAAGTGATATATATATATTTTTATAAAAGTATTTTTCAAGATAAACCTATTCATATAATTTTTACATTTTCAAACTCAACAACTTAAGAGTTACTTATGATTTATATTTTCAAAGTTTGACTCGATTTCCTACGGAGGGTATGTACTAGTAGCCCTCACTGGTCACTGCTGAGTAGATCATGTACTACTGTACTAGTAGTCCTCACTGGTTACTGGCTCACTGCTGAGTAGTCAACTCAGTGGACTTGTTCTGCCCATGGCCGTCTTCCCTTCCCACAGTACCGTTCGCGTCACGTTCATCGCCGCCGAAGAGTTTGACGGTGTCCTCCAGGCTCCTGCCTTGCGTCTCCGGCAGGAAGAAGAACATGAACACCCACCCGGCCGCAGCTATGCCGGCGTAGAGGTAGAAGCTCCCGGCGAAGGTGATGGCCTTGTAGAGCGAGATGAAGGACATGCTGACGGCGCCGCTCACGACCCGGTTCATCGCCGTGCCGAGCGCGCATCCCTGCGCGCGCAGCCGCAGCGGGAAGATCTCCGAGCTGTACACCCACGCGATCGGGCCCATCCCGATGGAGAAGGACGCCACGAACACCAGCACCATCGCGATGCTCAGACCCACCAGCGCCGTCGCCTGGCCCTCCGGGCGGTGCTCGATCATGTGCAGCGCCGAGGCCAGCGTGACGAGCGAGATCACCATCCCGCCGGCGCTGGTGAGGAGCAGCGGCCTCCGGCCGACGCGGTCGAGGAGGAACGTGGCCACGAGGATGAAGAGCGTCTTGCTGGCGCCCACCGCCACGGAGGCTCCGATGGAGTCGGAGTCGGAGTGGAGGCCCGCGTTGTCGAACACCCGCGGGCTGTACAGCACGACGGCGTCGATGCCGGAGGCTTGCTGGAAGAACTGGAGGCCGAGGCAGGCGATGAGTATGCGGCGCACGGCCGGCGTCGGGCGGAGCAGCAGGTCCCTCCAGACACCCTCGCCGTGGGAGCCCCTGCTCTTGTGGACGACGGCTACAACTTCGTCCTCGTCGGAGATCCCTTCGGGGATGCCGACCGCGTTCTTGATGTCCGCGAGCCGCTCCTCGGCCTCGGCCGGCGAGTCGGAGGTCTTCTCGAGGACACGTCGCGCGTCGCCGATGCGCCCCTGCATGACGAGCCACCGCGGCGACTCCGGCATGGCGAGGACGCCCACGGCGAGGAAGGCGGGCGGCACGGCGCCGACTAGGAACATGACGCGCCAGCCAATGTGCAGCGGGAGGCGGTAGAAGGCGAAGTTGGAGACGTAGCCGAGGAGGACGCCGGCGTTGATGAACACCTCGGGGAACGACGTGAGCAAGCCGCGGGCGGACGTCGGCGCCACCTCGGCCGTGTACACCGGCGCGATCATGAGCGCGTAGCCCACACCCACGCCGGCCACGAAGCGGCCGAGCATGACGATCGCGTAGCTCGGGGCGAGGCCCATGATGAGCGCGCCGGCGAAGAATATGACCGACGCGAGCACCATGGTGTAGCGACGGCCGATCCAGTCGGACGTCCGGCCCGCCGCGAGCGAGCCGACGAGCGAGTAGATGTTGATGATGCCGGCGAGGACCTCCACCTTCGCGTCCGAGATGTTCAGGTCCTTCTTCATGAACTTCTGCGCGCCGCTCATCACCGAGATGTCTGCTCGATCGACCAAAAACGAGATTATTGTTAGCACGCTTGCACGTTTCTCCTGGTTCTGAGCACAGGGTGTGATGTGCGGTTTTTTGCACGGACCGTAGCCGAGGAGGATGGAGTTCATGGAGGCGAGGATGGCGCAGGCGAGGGCGTACTTGTTGAGGGGGGCACGCTTCGCCGGCGCCTCGGCGGCAGGGACGTCGGAGGAGTCGTCCTTCGACATGGTGGCAGAGGCGGCGCGGGAGCTCGGATGGATCAAGTTCGTGTGGGATTACTGGCCGTACGTATGTGCGGCGCTAACTCCTGCTGCTGCGCGCCCTGTGCCACTACCTCCTCTCGCTCTTATATGAGGTCTTCGTCCGCAGATACCGAGGGACCTGTGTACCGTTGGACTAGAAATGCCGCTCGAATTGCAAACGGCCGTGTGTGTCATTGTGTCTAGGCTGTGATCGTCATTTTTGTACATGAAAAGAATACACATTAAACACACTCTTTTTTTTAAGTTTTGTTTTATTCCCTCACCTTTTTTTGAAAAATTTCCCTTGCCTGTTTTGCTTTTTAATACCAAGTGAAATATATCCAAAGAATGATTTTTATCATATTTGATACCTCTTAGTGCCTATGAATACCTTGTATACACACCATCCAGTTGAGTAGATCTAACGGCTTATAAAAGAATGGTACCAGGAGGTATTGTCTTGTTGTGACTAGCGAAGGTTAGATCGATCAAGTACAAGAGGTGGTCGAGGTGGAAGGGCAATTATCTAATTTGAGTCACAAGTTAACTCTCTCCCTATGTTCCTCTTTCTTCTCTCACCGATCAAACAATGGTGCAGCAGGCAACGGCTCTCACCGAAGTTGTCACCATGGTAGGAGAGATTGCCAAAGAAGGGGATTACGGTGGAGACGGTGCTCCAGAGCTTTCAAGCCACTTCCTATTGCAGATCCAAGCTACATGAGGATTGGCCTCTTCTGCATCAGCCCCCTTAGTGGCAAATGGAGACCAAGAGATATAGTAGAGTGGCTGCACATTTTTTTTTCGATAGTGTATAGAAATCCAGCCTCTATATTCAAATGAATATACACTGCGCATGCGAGCTCATTAGACGTCGTTGGGACTTGGGATTATGTTCCTCGGTCCATGTTTCTATGTAGACGGTGTTAGCAACAACTGCTTGAATATCCATGGCTTGGTTAGTGATAAGAGAGAACGGAGAAAGAAAGCATCCCACATATTTGTGCAAAGTGGCTCGAGCCGAGGTGTTGGAGGAATAGCCAGTTAGAGATGGGGCAAAGAAAGTTGGCTGTCTAGCACTGGTGAGCTCGAGCTTGTGTTTTACGCAGACCCACATGTCGAGCAGAGCCCCACTAGTGAGGTCCTCCCTATTGACATCGAAGTAGTAGTCATGACGAGGGACTCGACGGATACCTCCGGCAAAAGGTGATGGTGGACATTGCTAGGATGTTTCTGAAGAAAGAAATACTTGAGAGGCTGAAATTCTGAAATTATCTATTTTAATTACCCTTTTAACTTCTAAGCACTAGTACCTCCTTATGAATGCTAAAAGGTCGTTATAAGTACTTTTGATATTAATACATAAAGAATATCTAACTCTTTTTTTAGAAAAAAAATACCTCTTAAGAAACGATCTTAGAGAATCAAGAACTCCAAATTCGAAGTGCACCCTTAGACTATTCATGTATATCGTCGTTTTCACATGGCCGAAGGTGTTGAATAATAGGACCCTACTTCGTCGATGCCACGTACTACCGTCACCTGCTATTCTTCGAACTAATATATTATTCTAGCGCTGAGATCATGCGGCCCCGCTATTCTTGGGGTCCAACAAGCTGCCCACTATCGGTCAGTGACTTAGTGTAGACTGCATGACACATAGCCCTATAGGTTTGTCGAACTAGAACATAGACTAAACCAATTCTATTCTCACAGGGAAAATGACAATCTTTTTTACTTACATTGGTAATTGGGGGCGATTGCTCAATTTTCGTTTTTGTTGATTTATCTCTTGGGTTGGGTTATTATCTAAAAAAAGAATCTCTTGGGTTTGGTTGTGTGTCATGCTATGCATTCTGCTTTTGCTTCTTCCGTCACCTGTTCTGGTGACTCTTCACTCCAACAATTTAAGTGTTGTCGAAAGACGAACATTTATTTTGAAATAGTGCATTGATTTTAAAATATGTCCTTATAGCATATCACTTGGGATCTATTTATAGGTTACAAGCATGGTAAATAAATCCCAAGTTATTTTTGTTCTTATATGCTCTCTACTGAGTGAAGTATGTATTAAGTAGCTCTAGCTTCCTAAGGTTTTACTTGTTCAGAGTGTTACATAATTATCCCTTTGATACGAATATTTAGAGGGACATTCTAGGCCTGTGATAGCATATTTTACCTAGGTGGCTTTCATGGGCCTTAACCGTGCCGATGCCCTTATGAAGGTATTCTTTGGCACTATCTACACATTTGTTAAATTTGTCAGATATAAATATAATATAATTCTAGTATAATTACATTGTAGCTATAAAATATAACTTGTATGCAGCTTTTCAAAATCCCACCACTGTACCACTCTATACTTGTAAAGCGGATGTCGCGAAACAAAATCCCCTCACCAGTGTGCGCACTGTTGTTTTTTTTCTTCCCCGCTTGCATGAATTTTTGAAGCAAATCTAACGGTTCAAAATTATGTGAAAATTATATTAGAGTTACATATAAGTTATATGCAAGTTTAAATGCAATTATACTTATAATATAAGGCAATTATAGTTGACGAAATTTTGAGAGAAAATTTAACTATAAATATATAGCAAAATCGCTTCCTTGTGCTTGTGGCTCCTCGGCCTTGACCTCCGCAGCTATGATGGCTCTTCGCCTAATTCATTAGGCGCTGCATTTCGCCACCCATGTGGTTTCGGTTGCTCCGCTATGCCTCACCACGCTTCGCACTCATGTGGACTTGCCTCGTGCCCTCGTCTTGTTTCACCAAGTTTTGCTGCCCCTTTGTCACTCATGTGGACTTGCTTTGCTTGGGCAATCCTAACGAAGCCTTCATGGCCTGTCTCCAACCAGAAGTTCCGGAGGCTGTGTGTTGAACATAGAAAAGTAAAACCAGTCCAACATCTGATTCCCTTTTTTTCCATGGTACACAATTTCAACATGATAACTGGCAAGCATCCATGACAGCCTGACGCCGCTATTAGACGGGTCTGACTGTCTGACTGCAATATTGATCAGCGAAAAATCATCTGGGACAGCACAGTACGTGACAGTGAGCTCGTGCAGGAGACTGGGAGCTGGTGGCGACAACCTCTCCGGGAGTGCATGCACAACGACGCGCGTATGGTTAGCTCGGTATCGCCCATCAGTTTCAGTGAAGCAGCATCCTTGACTCCCGGCGTCAATGAAAGCCACCGGCCGGCCGGAGAAATGGCATGGAAAAAATTGTTAACCTTTGTCTGTTTTCGAATAATTGATGACGACTGGCTAAGTATATTACTACTTGTTTGTTTTCGCTCGACAGTGCCTTCACGGCGATTCAATTAGATTGCGCTGATCGATCAGCTCCAGTCTTTTAGCTACGGACGAAGTAATTAAATTTATAAGTTGCAGAATCTTGCAAACACTCCATTTTGGTCTTGTCTTGCGTCAGAAATTTGACTCGCACCTACCACGTATTAGACCACAACGTCATTTAACCTGAGGTTTTTCCTAACTTCATTTGTGTACCATATCTTCCAAATTTTGCTTGTTGCTTTAGTGCACGGATCAGCTTAGGTTTAACATAACATATTTGATAGTACTTGCTAAATCTGATCTCTGAAGTGTGCTGTAATCTTTTGCATTCAGTAAACTTTACGTGAAATCAATGCAATGTTTTGAGTATTATTTTTATGATGAACTATTGGTATATTGGTTTTGATGATTTGGTAATCTATTAGTAAATTGGAATTTGTCTCTGGATGGGACCAGCCAAACCGGGCACTAACCAAGCACAGTGTTTTTGTCGCTGGATGATGTGACGGTCGGACTGGCCTGGTGACGCCGGTTGGAGCGAAGGTAAAGTTGCGGTCCGATAGACCGGTCCGACAATTCGATCGACTGACTCTAGCCTGGAGTCGGTTTCAGATTGTTTTTATGGATTTTTGTAATTGCTTTATGTTTATGACTTCTAGATTATTTCTATACGTAAGATATACTATTGTACGTGTGCTAATGTTGAGCCAAGTTGGGAAAGAATTTATGCTCGGATATGGTTTCATAATTTATTTATATGTAGGTGTTGTTTGAGGCCTCGGGAGAAAATTGTCACTGATGAATCGAGAGTTAACTTGGGAGAAGTCGATATCCGGATAATCAAGGAGATCACGTGGGATACTAAGACTCGAGAATAATGTACGCGGTGCTAAAGATTCCATACGACATACGTGAGGGATTGTGTGCGCATGAGAAGCGGAGTTAAATCGGGAAGAGGTCCAAATTTAAGAAGATTGGAGTTTGAATTGTAATAGGATAAGTTGGTACATGTGCGGGTGAGTTTCCAAGGGGATTAGGAATATTTATCCATTTTGAATTCATGGCTTTGTGCAACCACATCAGGATATAAATAAATGAGAGGTATAGGCTATCGGTATCGATTTTTGTAGAGAATAGTTTTATGAGAAAATTAGAGTCTTAGCCTGGATTTTTATTCGAGTTTGAAAGTTAAGAGAGAAGTGTTATAGTTGCACTTTGTAAAGACAATTAGAAGCAATAAGATTGATCTACTTTCAATAAGTTCTTTGATTTGTGTTATTTTGGGTTATGATGGTCGGACCAAAGGGCAGGCGTATAAGGTTTCGGACCAACAGAGGGTCGGAGGCAAGACGGTTGGACCGGTAGTAGAACAGTAGTCGCACCAATGCACTGTTGCCGATTAGATCAAGCTTACGAAAAAGTTTTGTTTTTTGGTGCCCATACCAGTCACCACTCTGTAATATGAATGGTTTTTGTGTTAGATACTACACTTTATACTTGCGGGTCCTTCCAAAAAATAGTTAAGGGTTAGCCCTAAAAGTTGCTCAATAAAAATGCATTTCCTCTTTATTTTTTTCTGGAAGAACTACAGATTACTTGGAAAAAAGGAAGGATGTTTGGAGCTCTTACCCGTGGATAATTTCATAAAATAATGGATACTAAACACTTAAGTTCAAACATAAAACTTCTCTTTACGGGGATAGCTCCACATTTCCAGTGCAACCGTATGTTTCCTGACAGAAAACGATGCCGAAAATAAGTACAGTAATCATACAGATAGATGCAAAAAAGCAATGGTTAAAGCTTGCATGCTAGTGCTAGTG